AAGCAGCTTCAGGTACAGAAAGAAACAGGTTTTCACATTCTGATTGTTTCATTTTCATATTTTCATCCGTCCACTGATGTCCGTCGTGGCTTTTCATACTCACATTCCGACTTCACATATTTGTGGGAAGAAAAGAAAACGTTGCCTTGAATAGTGCCGATGCTCCGGAGGCGCATTCTTTACTCATTTAACTTTCATCTATTATAGATGTGTACCTGCATACTTTGCGTACAGAGCTATATGTGCTCAGATATCACTGTAAAAAAAAAACTGTTTTCACATTTATTTTACAGATTTCTACAAATATTAATAAAGTTACAAAAATAGCCTGTGAATGTCTAATGTAAAATAACGTGAAAATTGTATCTGTATGTGTATTGTATATCTGGTTTAATTATGGATGTTTTCACAACAAAAACGTTTTTTATCAGTGTATAAGAGTTGGTAAACTGTCAAATACAGTTTGTATCAGTGAAAACAGCAATAATAACTGTAATTTCACAGATAATGACTTTTATTACAGTTCTTTAACTTTTAAACCTATATAAAACCTAATAATAACAGCACTCTTTAAATTTAAGCCTGATTATTTGTATTATAGCAGAGTTCTCATGGATTTATATATATTTCATTGTTTTTACAAGACTTTATGTAAAATTCAGGCTAAAAACTGTATTTTAATTCTAGAAAATACTGTATTTTTATGATTCAGCTTTCTGTTATTTTACAGTATTTTGTGCCAGAATGTTACCATTTTATTTTCTATCTTTTTCTTTTCTTTTACAATTTCTTACGCATATTTTATCTTTTCTCCATTTTCAGTTTAAAGCAGAAAAGCAGCACCGGCTGACCTCAAGCACACATTACATACACAAACTAAATTACACCTTCATTATTTTATACATATAAAAATCCCTTTTCAATACTTCTGTTCAGATATAGGACACAATTCATCTTCACATTGAACCTTCCAGACTTTTTCAATGGGTCACCATAGGTACACTCAGCTCAACTTTATTTATACAGCAGCTTCATGCAGCCCAAAGTGCTTCACATAAAAACAAAATAAACCATAAAAAAATTGGCAAAAACTTATACAATAAAATGTAAAACATTAAAAAATTAAATAAATAAAAATAAATAATGAAAATAAACACCAGGAAAACATATAATGTAAAAAACATTCACATTCATTATTAGACTATTATCTACTGATCCAGGTAAACTGCGATCAGGTTAACCAGGTTACTTGTGTTATGAGGTCAAGGAGTGAAATCTATTCACAGCTTTGTGCTGAATAATATCTGAATCAGGTCTTGTACGACCCCCTCAGGAGCAATTAGGACCCGAGCGATGACACATGGTTAAAATGACTAAAAAATGAGCTTGGCAGGATGTTGTTTACTGCTTGATTTATGGCTCCTGAAGTCCCCGAGGACCAATAATGTTAATACGCTGCTGGAAGAGACTTTGAAACACAAGGAAACATATGAGGTTTAATGTTCTTCAGTAACTGATATACTTCAGGATGTATAAACAAACACTGCGGAGTCCTGTGCATTAACAGGATACTGAAGCTGCTGTTTGCTTTAAATAAGTCAGCAGAAGGTCAACATCATCAACATATCAGGGTTCCCAAGAGTCCTGGAAAACCTGGAAATTTAGAGACTAGTTTTCCAATCATGGATAACACCTGGAAATTGATTAAAATGACCAGAAATCTGTAGTCGATCTGCTGGAGATGCAGTGGGAAAAATCAGCTGTGGTGAGAACAACCAAGCCTCGTGGTGCACACTGCTGAGTCATGTTTAAGGACCAGTGTGTATGATTTAGTGGCACTTACTGGTGTAGTTGCAGATTGTAATGGCCGGTCCAAACACAGAGGAGAAACTATGGTGGATGTGAAACTCTGGTCTACCGAAAAAACATGGTGGTTCAACATG